GTCCCCTGCCTTTCCACAGCCCCCCCCCCACTTCTCAAGGTTCCCCCCCCCTCCAGCCCCTTGCCCTTGCCCACCCCGACATTTGCTCCGCAGACTGGCAGGTCTCCGGGCAGCTGGAGGGGGCGTCCCAGAGGCACACGGCGGAGAGCGGTGCCCTGGCCCAGCAGCTGGGCAGCCAGGAGGAGAACCTGACCCAGACCCTGCGGCTGCTGTCCCGGGCCCAGACCGAGCTGAGCACCACCAGGCTGGCCCTCTGGCAGAGTCGGGAGGACAGGAACCGCACTCAGCGGCAGCTGGAGGAAGAGAGGAAGCAGTGGAGGCTGGCCAAGAGCCGCCTGCAGGAGGAGAAGGCCAAGGCGACCCGGGAGCTGGCGGAGGCCAAATCCTGCCAGCAGATGGGTAAGTCCGATGTTTGTGGGGGTCAGGCCTGGCTGGGCCAGGCCCCTATGTCCCATGGCAGCTGGGGCCATGTTCTCCAGCTCCCCGTACAGCTCGAATGTTAGCAAGGGTGCCCCCAATCTTGCTCTGGCACCCCAAAGAAGTCCAGCCCTTGAGCCGGACGCTGCTGGCATGGCTGGGAGTCTCTGAGCTGTCCTCACGGGCCACCCAACCAACACATGAGGCGCGTGTCCATTAGGAGTGCCTCTCTGGCAGGCCGCGCCCCTGGCTGCCCCTCTCGTGTGTCTCCTCCACCAGGCTGCTGCCCCCCCGGCTGGGCCCTCTTCCGGTGGAAGTGCTTGCGGGTGTCAAGTGAGTGGGAGACTTGGGAAGGGAGCAGGCGGGACTGTGGAGAGCAAGAGGCTCAGCTGCTGATTCTGAAGCCCTGGGACGCCGGCACCTTCTGGCGCGACGCAGTGATGAAGGTGAGATGGGGTGGCGTTTCCACTGGCACAAACCCCCACTTGGCCCCGTGTGCTGCTCCGGAGGGCCCCCCGACGCCCGCCCACCCCCGCCCAGGAGGAGGGTTTGGTGGGGCTGAGAGAACTGGGGCTGGAGAGGGAGCCCAGAAATCCCGTCTCTGCAAGGGGAGCTGGTGCCGGCGTGCGGGGGGAGGAGGCACCACCATCAAGCCTCGTGGGCCAAGCGGGCGGCTCTGAAAGGAGTTTGTTCCCCCCCCCCCCCGGTTTTTTTCCGGGGGAGAGCTGGAGGGCGGAAAAGGTTGTCTCCATCATCACATCCTACAGAAAGGGAGGGGCTGTCCAGAGAGGACTGTTGAAGGAAGGGGGAGAGACAGTTACATCACCACCCCTGGCCCTGGGGGTGGCTGGAACCGCACTCCCCACCTCGGCCAGTGCCCCCGAGTGGACCTCCCTGGGCAGGAAAGGAGAGCCCAAGGGAGGCCCAAGAGAGGCTCCTCTGCACTGGAGCCCTTCTCCCCAGGGGGCTGCCTTCCTAGGTGTGGGGAGTTTTCCTGGGGTGGGGCAGCACTGCATCCTGTCCCGTTCCCCCCTCACCATGAAAGTGCTGGGCACTGAGGGCTCCTCGGGAGAGGGGGCACACACTCACACCTGGAGCCTGAAGAGGCTGATCGGCGGTCAGGAAGCGGCTGCCAGAGAGGCAGGCTGGCCGAGCCCCAAGGCAGAGTCAGTCCAAACCCCAAGGCCTGCCGCCGAGGCAAAGGCCGCCTGTGGGCGACTCCCAGGAGATCTCCGGCAATCTCCTACAATGTCTTTTCAGAGGCATGGAAGCTGGGCTGCCCTCCTTCGTTGCTGGATCCCCCCTGGAGGAAGGGAGGGCGGTGTGGGCAGGAACGCCATGGGGGGGCGTCGCTGCAGGCGGTCTGCTCTGTGCAGGAAACACCCCCAGGCCACGTTCACCCAGGTCCTCCTTGTTCTCCTAGAGTCTTCTGCGATCAGATGAGTTCTGGGTTGGACTCACGAGGAGGAAGTACGAATGGAAATGGGAATGGCGTTGGGTCGATGGTGCACACTACCCTGGGTAAGCCTCGGAGAGGTGGGGCATTTCCTCCCCACCAAAGAGATTTGTTCTGGTTGGATGAAGTAGCCCAGTCCCTCCATCCTCAGGGGCCAGAATGGAAACTATGACTTTGACCCACCCCTCGTGATGACCTGATTAAACAGGCGGCCCAGACACAAGACCCCAAGGAACACGGAAAGGAAGCCAGGGAAAGTCAGCCCCCACCTTTTTCAGTGTGCAGAGAGCCACACTGATTGTAATGAAGTCTGGATAGCAACATCCCCCCTTGATGGAATGGCGCACAGTGAGTGCCCCCATAAGTATAGAATCATAGAAACCTAGCGTTGGAAGGGGCCATACAGGCAATGTAGTCCAACCCACTGCCCAATGCAGGACCAGCCTAGAGCCTCTCTGTCAGAACCCACAGCTTACAACGAAGTACACGCATTCAGGACCGGTTATACTTTTATTGCAAAGCTATAGATGCAGTAACACAGGCACTGTTAAGAATGGCGGTAACCACTAGAGCCTAATAGGATATAGGGTATTCATATGCAGGCCCCCCATGGCATGGGCCAATTAGATACCCTCCCCCGCGCAGGACAAGTTAGGAAACCATTAGGTGGCTAAAGCTGGGAAACAGGAGTCTCTCACGGTACATAGGAGACTTCCAGACAACACAACCTCCTCCTGCACATCTGTAGAGATAAGCATTTCAGCACAGGCAGAACAGCAGGGATAGGAATGCAATAGCAGTTAACCAGACACAGACCGAACTCCCCAACCCCCATGGCAGCATAGCTGACACTCTCTGACAAATATTCGTCCAGCCTATTCTTGAAAGCTACCAGTGAAGGGGAGCTCACCACCTCCCTGGGCAGCTGATTTCACCTTTGAACCACTCTGACCGTGAAAGAGTTTTCCCTAATCTCCAGCCGATACCTTTGGTGTAGTGGTTAGGTGCACGGACTCTAATCTGGGAGAACCGGGTTTGATTCCCCACTCCTCCTCCACTTGCACCTGGCTGGATGACCTTGGGCAAGCCGTAGTTCTGATAAGAGCTGTCCTTGAAAAAGAGCAGTCCTTGAAAGAGCCCTCTCAGCCCTGCCTACCTCCCCAGGGGAGGGGGAGGGAAAGGAGTTTGTAAACTGCTCTGAGACACCTTTGGGTAGTGAAGGGCAAGGGGTATACATCCGATCTCTTCTCTTCTTCTTCTTTGTAAAACGTGGAGACACTGTGAGTGAGGGCAGACCGGCGTGGTCACACAGCCCCATGAAACATGGCAGCCGCCACCCGCACACATACCCGGGAATCCTGCAGGACGTGTGTTCAAGTGAAGTGAAGAGAGTGTGGCCATGTCACTCCCCTCAGCCAGGGGTCCCTGCAACTCACTCAGGGGAGGCCACCCCGATAAAAGACTCAAGAGACCTCTCCCCCACAGGAGTTTGGGTCTCTGGCAGGGGAGGGCTTGTCTTTTGCCAGACAGGGGAGAGCTGTGCACCCACACAAAAGGCAGCCCAGTCAGCAGCCCCCTGATGACAGACAGCTCACTGCAGACAGACACCCCTGCAGTAAAGGGGAGGCAGGGCGGGAACCTCAGCGGGGCACCGGTCAGAGGATGGGGCTGACCCTCTGCCCGGCACCAGCAAACACCCAGAAGAGGCCGGACTCGAGGTGGACTGCTGAGCCCCAGTCAAGGCAGCTGAAGCTCTCATGCCCTGAGCGGCACATCGGGGACCCTGAGGGCAAGTCAGGGGAAGGGGCTGCCCAGTTCCTCTCTCATTCCAGCCAGGGTCCGGAGTCCCAAGCTGCACTGGCACACGGCCAGGTCCCAGGCAGAGCTTGCGAGGGAGTCCAACAGCTCTCTGGGGGGGGGCAGCTCCCAATGGTGCGGATCCGGATGGGGGGCCAGCGCAGCATAGTCCTTCGAGGGGGGGGACTTGGGTGACCTTGAGCAAAAAAGGGAGCCAATCACACCAACCCACCCACCCAGCCTAACCCTACCTCGCAAGGTGGTTGTCGGGATGAAATGGAGGGGGGGGGGAACGTGGTCAGCTGCCCTGGCTCACCCTTTGGGGAGGAAAGGGGAGGCATAAAGGAAGAAAGAGCTGGCAGCAGCCAGGCAGCTGGGTGCCCCGGGGGCAGCGTTGACTCACGGGTGGTTCTGTCATAGCCACAGCTGATGGCGGAGGCTGTGGTGGGCCTGGGGCTCTCCCTGACCCCTGCCTCGCTGGGTGGCTGCCAGCAGAGACCCCCAGAGACACAAGGACAGCAGTGAGTGGGTACCCAGGGCCTGGCACTCCTTGGGGGTGGGGGGTTTCCTAGAGGGTGGGCTGCCCTGTGGGGCCCTCAGCCATGCGGACCCGCCCCCTGTGTTGGGACTGAGTCCGCACCACCTGCCGGGGCTGCTGGGTGGGGCACCGATCCTGCAAGCGAATGGGCAGGAGTTGCAGCTGGCCAGGCAGTGGGTTGCCCTACGCCACGAAGGGCCCTTGCGCTTCCTCTGTCCCCCCCCCTCCCTTCATGAGGTTTTTGTTTTCTTTCCAGGAGTGAGGAGCTTAATTCTCCTTATAACAATTGTGCAACTGTGAGCCAAGGAACCCTGGGAAAAGTGCTTTGTTCAGATCCTCAGAGATACATTTGTGAGAAGGCGGCCATGCCTGAAGCTGTCTTGTACTGAATCAGGCCCCTCCCCCTGTCAATCAAGGTCAGTATCAACTACTCAGTCTGGTAGCCGCTCTCCAGGGTGTCCCAGGCAGACAACGGTCTTTCCCACCACCTCCTGCCTGGTCCCTTTTAAGTGGCGATTATGCCAGGGATTGATCCCGGGACCTTCTGCATTCAAGGCAGTACAAAGAGCACAGGCCCTCCCTGCTGTGGTTGGAGAGCAACGGAGGCAGCCCCCCTGTGGCTGACGCCAAGGAGCAGCAGCAGGTCTAAGAGCCCAGGAAGACTTCTGCGGGACCCCGGCCAGTGCCCCCGGCCACCTGCCACAAGCCGGTGAGCGGAGAGAGAGCCGAGTGGGTCCGGAGGGCTGGAGTCGCACTCAGGAACACACACCCCGCCCCCGTGAGATCCCTTCTCTGTGTCAGGCTTACTGATAACTCAGTTATCAACTGCCAGTCCTTGAGTCAGAAAAGGTTTATTGCTCAGAGAGATGGAATACCTTGAACTCTTAAGTCAGGAATAAAGGGATTCAAAATGGCTTACGCATTTGAGGGCCAAGAAGCAGTTACACAGGAGCGCGGGGAAGGCATACCGGTTTGGGATGGGAGCAGGGAGGCAGAGCATTCTCGGGCCCAAGGCGCTTGGTAGCTCAAGGCCAGCGAGATAAGACAGACTGCAGCGGCTGGAAGGAGAACCATACAGTTAGGCAAAACACACCTCACTGTGGCGGGATCACCCGACACTCTGCCCCTTCAAACCCTCACCAGAGTGGAGGGGCCCACGTGGGTTGGCTGCCGCCACCCCCTTATTACTCTCCGTGCTCCTTTACAAGGCCAAAACACTTGCCCAGATGCTCTACGAAACGCTGCTTGGAGCGCCTCCATCTAGCTATGCTCCTTTGGAGCTAGTCCAATCGAAATTTTTGAGAGCAGTGCTCCAAGTTCCGAGATGCGTATCTAATGCAATGGTACGGCTAGAGACTGGCATGCTGAAGGTTGAAGCCATGATTGCCTTATACTCCATCTTCTATTGGCTGAAGATTAATCTGAACCCATGTGGACTAGTGCCCCTGATTCTGTCTGATGCCTTTGAATCTAATTGGCTGATTTCTGTTAAGCGGAAAATCTCGCTCTTGGGGTATTCTCCCTCAGCGCTTTTGGAGATGGGTAGGGACCGGGCTAAGTTAGAAATTAGACAGAGGATCAAGGATACCGAACGTCAATTAGATCTACAGGTGTCCCCAACATTTATAGCGCCAATTAGAATCAAATACATCGTTGCGCAGGCCCCATATCTTAACGTTTTGGAGTCCCGTAAACTTAGGAGGGCATATACTCTGGCCAGATGCTCGGCCTTACCCTCTGCAGTTCTTGAGGGTAAATTAAAAAAAATACCCCGAACAGAGAGGCTATGCTTGTGTGCGTTGGGGGAGATTGAATCCCAGGAACATGTGTTCCTAAGATGCCCGTTATTTGAAGAGGCTCGTACTAAACTTATTGATCCCCTTCTGACAGGCACTTCGGATCAGGACAAGGTGGAGAACTTGTTTCTTAACCTTGAACACACAGCGCTCCATCAGATTGTGAAATTTTGTTCCTTGGTGGTAGAAGTGCATCAGCATGATGGTTGGCACTAGGGTTAGGACTGTTGATTTTAACTCGTACCGTTCCCTTTAGTAATATGTTTTACTCTTTTATACTATACTGTGTTTTATGGCAGCGTACTTTTAGTTTGGTTTTAATGAACGTAACGTTTATAATGTTAGCTCTTTTTACCTTGCTGAATTTTGGAAATTTTACTATTTGGCCATTCTAATTTATTTTTTCTGGTTTTATATTGCTGGCTAATTGCTGTTACAATAAAATTCATTCATTCATACTCTCCGTGCTCCCTCTTAGTGTGTGGGGGGGGAGAGCATCACAGGAGGAGGAAAAC